CGTAGTAGGACTAATACACACAGGCTGCCGCTGTCTGGCTCCCTGCTGCCGTCCGGATCGACAGCCAATGCGCGCAGCCAGCGAGAGTTCACAACGAAAAATGGCGTCAAATATTGTTGATGTTTACGCATCAGAAAAAGCTAATAGCGCGGGTATTTGGCACAATTTGACAGAACAATTATTTGGTGTGGACGATGATAAACACTGATACACAAAGTTGACATGCGGCTATACCAGCAATGCTACACTGTGTGATGCTGGGACGGGCTGAACTCACCAGGATTCGCGGAACCACACGTGACGTCACGACACAGCACCAAGCAGCGGCAAGTTTGAATCCAGACTTTTCTGGATACCTCTGAATTTGACCCATTTTCCCGATATTAACAAGTGATTTACAGCAAATAGGAAACGATATTCGATCTATATCACGTGTTACTGGAATAAGACCCAACAAGTTAATGCATTTTGAAACAGTTCTATGATCTTTCAGCTACAGTAAATTACGCAAGATAAGGACTTTAATGTCCGCGGCTTCTATGTGTCATAAAAATGGCGGTTGCTAACAAGTGACTAAATAAACTACTAAACGTCATCAGGCTGACATTAGATTAGTGGTGTTGATGTGCAGCCATGAGACCGTGATGTAGTTTGTTTATAGCGTTATTTCAGCTTTTTATTTCAGTTAATTGCATTTATCCTTCAAAAATCTGCTCAAAGCGTGTTAAGTATCAAAGAAGTGTGTTGGTCAGGATGATTCTATTCTGCAAATCCAATGGGGAATCTCATTGCTTTTTGTCGAGGGACCCGTTTTGGGATCCAAACCAATCACCCAATACATTCCCAAATGCAGACATTTACTCTCTCCTATCCACCTTCCCCTCAACCAGCTCAACACACTTCGCGGTCGGTCAAGTTGGCAAACAATGATTTGAAAATGAAAATGACCAAGTAAAAATACTTTTCATCTTAAAAATGTTAAAGAAAACGATCAAGTGGTTCAATATCACTATAAAGTAACTTTGGTGTCCCCATCAGAATCATCCAGTTATCATGAAAATGTAGCAGAATAATGAAACTCTAAGGTCTTATTATAAAAGGCCAAATATTTACACACATATCAGTACAATGATACGTCTCTTGAAATGTTCATTTTATACCTTATTGATCACGTACCATTGGATGTACGTGATTTTGGCATGTTACACACACTGCTCTGCTAACTACAGTGTGTGTAATAAATGATACTACATTTAAAAAATAATTATATGGTTGTATATTCCACATCGAGTTATTTGATAAAACGAGTCATTTTGATCATGTTTATTCAATTTTCATAATAATATTGAAAATTGTTCACGTGTTCCTGACATTTGCTGTCCACCCTGTCATTAAGGGGTAACTGCCCCATAAAAAACCCTCTGATGTTTTCAGTGACACAACTACCACCATTTTGTCTTTCCTCAATGGAGATGAGACATTGGTTAGTTGCAGAGTAAGCTTTTTAACTTATATTTCGACATTTTAATCATATTATGTGTGTAGTTGGATGTTGTCAAGCTTAACATGTCCACTCTGTCATAGTGAAATGCCAATTAGTATAAAAACCTTTCAGAAATTCGAAATGTATTTGTTAAACAGTACACAGTCACCTTGCTAAC